TTAAGGATTTAGATCCTTGAGTAACATTGTCAGCGATCCTGTGTACTAACTTAACTTGTACATATTGTTAAATANAAACCTTTTAGGACAATGTCTGACAAGCATAGCAAAAAGTTATTACATGTAAGGCCATGTTGATTTGATTATATGGATGACATCCTCCGGGAGCCCCAAAACTGATGCGCGCGTGCGAATAAAAAAAGTTTTGCAAAAAAAAGTTACTTTTCATTATGAAATCTATGTGGTCATGAGGGTTGAGCAAATGGCACAGAATATGGTTTGGCGAATAATCTAGTCTTCAAGTTCATTTCTTTACAATTTCGTCTTTTTTCGTTTGATTTTGGCATTCTACGACATTGGTATAGTTTTTATTAATTTTTTGTTTTTTGGTATATTTTTGCTCATTTTGCAACTGTTTTGTACGATTTACAGTATGGTTGAAAACTTTTTTTTTGGAAACGGCCGAAAATTCATGCGGGCGCGGATGTCATCCATATAATAAAATCAACATGGCCTTACTGGTCGTTCTTCATATGTACATGTAGGTCAGGGTATATGTAGAGGCTCCGATTTGGTAGAATCGGCGTTAGGGTCTGGTATTAGGGTTACAGGTTTCCCATTTACATAGTCTAAATTTCAAGACGATCCATAATCTAAATTGACATGAATCAAAGTTGAAACGTTCTGTCTTTTAATCGAGTATATTACAGACTCCGATCGCGATTTCTAACGATTCTACCAGATCGGAGTCTGTGTGCGTGGCAGGTATCGATTAAATCTTAAGGATTGATCCTTGAGTAACATTGTCAGCGATCCTGTGTACTAACTTAACTTGTACATATTGTTAAATATAAACCTTTTAGGACAATGTCTGACAAGCATAGCAAAAATTATTACATGTAAGGCCATGTTGATTTGATTATATGGATGACATCCTCCGGGAGCCCCAAAACTGATGCGCGCGTGCGAATAAAAAAAAAGTTTTGCAAAAAAAAAAAAGTTCTTTTCATTATGAAATCTATGTGGTCATGAGGGTTGAGCAAATGGCACAGAATATGGTTTGGCGAATAATCTAGTCTTCAAGTTCATTTCTTTACAATTTCGTCTTTTTTCGTTTGATTTTGGCATTCTACGACATTGGTATAGTTTTTATTAATTTTTTTGTTTTTTTGGTATATTTTTGCTCATTTTGCAACTGTTTTGTACGATTTACAGTATGGCTGAAAACTTTTTTTTTGAAACGGCCGAAAATTCATGCGCGCGCGGATGTCATCCATATAATCAAATCAACATGGCCTAATTGCATATGCATTTTTGGCACAAAAATGGTATAGCCACTCTTACCTCTCCGTATAGGGACATTTTGTTTCCAGTGTGTATGTCTGTTTGCTTGTGTGGCAATAGTAATTTTTTGTATCATAAGAAGTGAGGGGGGATGGCGTAACCACAGAATGACAGGAAGGTCAAAATGGTCTCCCTATTGCCAGTGACAGTGGAATATGAACAGAATCTGTGAGAAATTTATAACATAAATGAATAAAGCAAGAAGTTAACAAGTCTAAATACTTCTTGGAGGTGTGAAATCTTTGATTTGCTGTTCTGATTCGATCTTGAATGATGCCTGTTACCGACAGCTTACTGCCCTCGCTTCCAGGTGTTGTTTTTGGAGACAGAAGTTCAGAAGAGGGACCAGAAGGCGAAACAGCTGGAGGCTCAGCTGACCATTTCACTGGGAGAGATCAGGAGGAAGGAGTCATCCGAGAGACAGGAGCCTTCGCACAGGTAACCAGCATCAATGGGGTTGGGTGGCGTAGCGGTAGATGTAGCATTGAACTGATGAGAGGTCCCGGGTTCGAATCCTACCCATGTCACCGATCTTGTGCCCTTGGGAAAGGCACTTAACACGACCTTCCTCTCTCTACTCAGGTGAAAATGAGTACCTAGCTTTTGCTAGGGACGTCCCTCGGATAGGACGTTAATAAATGGAGGTCCCGTGTTTGTGGTCCAGGGCCACACCCCACGCACGTTAAAGAACCCACCACACCTTTTGAAAAGAGTAGAGGCATGCCCCGGTGTGCGATGGTCCAAATATTTATCTGATTATTCACTACGGACTCCAGGAAGAGTAGTGTGAATTCACACTAATGGAGATCACAAACAAACAAACAAACAAACAAACAAACAAACAATCAATGGTGGACCGTTTAAGATTACTGATACACATGTAACTTCACTAGTTGATGTAAATTATGACTGCATACGTTTATACATACACTATATTACAGTGTCACATAGGATGACCTAGCTGAAATTTCTTCTGAATAGCCTAATGTAGTTCTGGATATTAGATACATGTTGTATGTGTCAACCCCAGATTATGTTATCATAACTGAGAACACTGTATTGTATATCACAATAAGTTGTCATAGGCTCTTCAGACATGAACAAAGCATGCCTGGAGAAGTATTGAACATGGTCTAGACAATAACTATTTACAAGTTAGGGGTCTTCACCTCTGCCCTCTTGCATGCACATTTGAAGAATTTGAACCAGCTTACACCAAGGAGGTTAACTTTAATAAGACAGACTGTTTTTATTACAAGTTCCTTGCTTTTAAGCTTAAAAGCTTATACAAATCTTGTGGTAGTCCTGTAACGGGGGGGAGGGGGTTATAAGCGCTACCAACTGACCCGGCCAATGGGTCAAGACCTTTTAGCTGATTCAGTAGGAGCGTCGGATTGTAAGCTGGTGCCCGGGGGCCGTGGGTTCGAACCCCGGACCAGAAGGGTTTTTATCTGTATCTACTGCTGGCCTGTTTCTTACAGTCCTTCACAATCGAAGATGAATGTCAGAGTCCAAATCTAACCTGATTGAAACATATACATCCACAGAAAACACCAGGATAGATCAGCCAACAGTACACAGGAGGGACACCGTGCTCGATCAGGGACCTGGGGAGCGGAGTCCAGGGGAAGCAGGAGTTCCAGTCACAGAGAGGAGGGGCCGAGGTCTGACAAGTCCTCCAGCTCCAGTGGCAGCAGACACTCCATCATGAAGGAGTATGACATCAACAGTAGTAAGGCCTGCAGTATCATGTAGAGACATCTGAGAGGAATACTGTCAACGCTGCTACCAGTAGTGTGAAAGACGTAAAAATTCGCGTAAATTATCGTCTTGCAACAAGACACTTTGTGACAAAAATCCAAAGTCCACACTTAACTGCAACGTGTACTTTTGAGCGAACATGGCATGCAGCAGCAGTGGCAAGTGTCAGACAGAGACTCTGATCTTGTAGAATCAGCAGTTCTACTGTTAGAGATCCCAATCAGAGTCTCTGTCATCAGAATCTGAGATCTGGATGCTAATGTGTTAGGGAAAAGGTAAAAAGTGATCTCGAACCAGTTACGCTCATTGAAGAGCTACTCTTCCACTGGTCGTGACAGAGAAGACAGACGCTATGTACAGTATTTATTGGTTCATTGTACTGAGGAAATTCCCCTAGCTCTTTTCGACAAGCACAATGAACAGAGGACCTGACGGCTTTACGTCCCGTCCGAAGGACTGCGACCCTTAACAGTAGCGTGCATGTCGGGTGAGCGACAACAGCAGGGATTCGAACTCCCAACCTCTTAGTCCAGAGGCAGGATCGCTAACCACTGGAATACTCATGCTACTGGGTGGTTTACCATTTACAAAATGCTAAATTGTAAGTAAATCCATTTACCCGAAGTTGAAAAATTTTGTCTATCTTTTAAGCAAATATCTTGAAATTTACAGACCCCAGTCGGGATATCTGCAGGTAGAATTGCAGACTCTACCAGATCAGAGTCTACAACGACACAAATAAAGTTACTGCAGAGACTATGACAGGTTCTATGATGTAACAGAGTATTAGCTATGTAGGAGGGCAGCTGGTTCACTGCACTATGACTTCTGAGTCTTTTGTGTATTTTTTGCAGCAAAAATCAAACTTTTTAAACTTTATTTTAAACTTTCTTGACTTTAAAGTTTAAAGAGAGGTTTTATTGAAACTACTAGTACATGTAAAAGAAGGGGCAGCTAGATGTACATGTAGATTGATATGATGTAGCCACCGTCGTTCAGATAATTGTGGAACTGTAAGAGCTGTACATAAAACAGTACATTGGGTCTTTAGCTACTGAAAGTGTGGTAGTCTAGTAATAGCCGAAGTCTGTCGAATCCGACTTAACCATTTTCCAACTCTGTCCCGAATGCAAATTTGCAGAACCAGTGGTCCAGTGGATATCAAAACGAGAAACACTTCAATATTTCGTTCAAAGCATTCAGGACTGTGTAAAGTAAAGGTGTTTTGTGTTAAAACCAAATGTAATGCTGTCATCTATTAAAATAAAAGATTAAAGGAATACATTTTTGAGGTTGAATGATATTTATGGCTTCACCACTATAGTTTTTCTCACGTTTCTTTTTCTCCTCCTGCCATTTCTTTAAACTGATTCAACTTCTTCATTTTTGGGCCAAATAACATGGAATTTGGTATGAAGGTTAAGTGGGCAAATACCCCCACTTTATTTTTATGTTTTCGATACAGGCATTTAAAATTGTTTTATTTGTTTTCTTTTGCCATTTTCGGACAAAATATGTACATTTTGGGTCCTGGAGACCTGGTATTACACTCAAATCACTGAAATTTGGCCTAGGCATGCTTTATATATCTATCAACAACAATTCATTATAATTTTTGGCATACTTTTATAATTTGGGACTTTTTGACTGTTTTAGATCACAATTTACAATATAGTTAGGGATGACTATCCATGAGTCATCTGTCTGGCATGCACAGCAAGCAACCAATCGGCATGCAGTTTTCCTCTATTCTTCTTGCTGATTGGCTGCTGGGATATAATTGGGTTAACTCCATAAACAGCTGCACAACCCATACCATATTGAGGTAGGTACTACTGCAAGTGTTTTGGTAGGTATGTCAATCTTTCCTGCTCAAGCATTGAAATGCAGGGCACAAACACTTTTTTATCTTGAAAATCAACAGTTAACATTATGCAACTAAAAATCCTAACCAATAATGTAGGGTATAGCTATCCAACTGTTATATTCTTTGTTATTTGTCACTTCATACTACAGTTATATCGATGTAAAACATGGTTTTCCCTTGTATTCTCCTTCTTTCCCTGCCATGTCCTAAAATGTGTAGTGAAGCCATGCTGAATTTGCTCCAAAGCAAATGTCGGCCTTTCTAGTTTAGAACAATATCTGTAAGGCAAATAATGGTATTAATGATACTAGTCTAATATACGCTAAAATGCAAATTATGATACTGAAGTTGGTAAGATCACACCGGTGTTCAATCTAACTTAATTACTTGATTGAGAAAATGCAAATTATGGTGATTCCGTATCAGGTGGTAAGACCACGTTGCTGCTCAGAGTAAGATGGCAAGTCACGGTGCTTGGACAGGGAAAAACTCGGTGGTTAAGATTCGTCTTTAAAGACGAGCTACGCCCGTTTAAGGTGGTGAGTCGCATTTAACATTGTCCTTTGTGTTCTCGTGACTATTTGGGCCGAACTTGTTGCAATGAAATGAAGCTAAAACACAGAATGGCGTGAATTATTTGCGCCGGTGACTATTCCCTGTGTTTAAACCTGCACTTAGTAAAGCCGCCGTCTGGGGGCGTTTTTTTTTCATGTCCGCTTTGAACAAGGAGGTTGAACTAACATTAGATACACTATTTTTATGGTCATTGTATAAAACGGTTAACTGCATGACAGAATGTTTGATTTATAAAATTTTGGAGTAGATGTGCAACTTCTTTTTTCAATGTGGAGGCTCCGCCGACTCTCTGTGCGTTTTGTATGTAAAGAAGGTCCCATCAGGCCTTTCTACGGGGATGCAGGTCGTAGAATTCGGCAGAAAAGAAAGTAAAATTGGCCAGTCAAACCTCTGTCAAGGCGGCCAAACTCCCCTGGCAAATATTCTCCTATATAGTCATCGTAGTTAGTCTGGTAGAGACTACCCTCGGCCTCCAACCCCCTTACCAGCTTACACAGCTGAATCATGTCGCCACTTTCCGTCTACAATAGGGAAGGGAGGGAAGACCTCAGTCTCTCCTGGTAGGGTAGGTCTCTGACGTTCAGAGGGTGTTTGGTGTCCCTTCTTTTCACTTCTTCAGTGCCCGCTCCAGCCGGAAATATTTATTTATTTAAATTGCCAACACTGCAATACAGTGGAAGCCCTGGCAGCTGAGCTGATGTCGGGCCCCACATTATGAAATACATACATAAACTCACACACACACATCATAACACAATAAAGTCACAAATCACAGAAATCTCTTATACTTACAATCCATAACCTAGGCTAATGACAGTATAAAAAAGTAACAATACAACTCAGTATGGTAGGAGGCCAGAGGTCATTCAAATATATAATATTTCAATATTTACAGTGTTGTAGGAATAGATGGAAGCCAGAAATAAGACCCCCACAGTGGTACTGTCCTTGTGTCAAGTTTGTGGAAAGCTCTCTTAACTACCAAACCTACCTGCATCCAGTTGGCTTTCTTGGATACCTTCTGCCACAGCGAGTGTTTACATCCCAAAAGTTGAGGATGCCTCACCCATGTGTTAATTGTAAGCGTGGACCTCTCCTTGGTGCTGAACTCACCATCAGTATTGCAGTATTTCTTCTTCTTCTTCTTCTTTTTGGGTACCCTCGAACAACCCCTGTACGGGATATCACTGAGGGGGGGAAGCGGTACACGGGTTAGGGCAGGGAGGCTTCTACCCTGGCCTTAAAAGCCTCCACTGTCGGTGCCCTCACCACTGGGCCCGGCAGCTGGTTCCACTCGCTTACCGTGCGGGGAAAAAAAGTAAACTTAAAACAGTCTTTGCGTGCTGCGAGTAGCTGGTATTTGTAATCATGGCTACCTCTGGTCCTTTTCTGGGCAGGTTTCAGGTATTTGTCATGTGGAATATTAATAGCACCATGGATGATCTTATATAATGTGGTAAGGCGTACATGTCGCCTCCTGGCTGACAAAAGCGGCCATTTCAAACTTAACAACATTTGTGTTACACTACTTGTCTGTCTATTTGCGTGAAGGTTGAGTCTGTTGTCCATCAGGACCCCCATATCTTTTTCCTCCTCTGTTTCCTGAATTGTTTTACTGTTTTATATGCATTAGGCCACAGCAAATAATTTTTATGGATGACATCAGCGTGCACATTAATTTTCGCCTGATTTTGGAAAAAAAAAAGAAATTTTGTTGCTCTCTGACAGTGGTCAACATGCTGAAAATGGGTAAAGATGTCTGTTGCCATGCCAGAACTTGAATGGCAAAAAAACCTGGAGAGGAGACAATAAAAGGCTATGATTTAATTAATTTTTTTTTTACTTTGATGCAGTGGTATGTCATTCTAGCTGTGTATATGTGATGTTCCCACATCAAAAAACCATTTGTACAGATGATTGAGTCAAAATTTGAAAATGTAGGAACCTTGTTTTTTTGGCCCGGCTATTTTATCGCCCGCTCGCATTAGATTTGGAGTCTGTAGAGGATGTCATCCATAAAAATTACTTGCTGTGGCCTTGTATATGTCATCTTTTCCCATAATGTTGGACTGTCAATATGAGATGTGTTTGAATGCTGTCGTACTCATCAGATGCTTTAATCGCATTCTGTGTGTTGTTGGTGACTGTTCTGAGGTATTTTATGTGAGATGTACTTCATGCAATTTTCCATTGTCATATGCTATGTTTACCAATATGTTTACTTTTGATTGAATGTTGACTGTAATTTTGCTCTGCTCTTCATTTTCCCCAATGCAGAAATGGTCTTGCCCCCAACCCAAAGCAGCTCGGTTAGGTTAAGCTGATATTCATGTTCGAGTTCGGGCGTGTGTCTGCAAGATTGCCACAGACTTGTTTCGAACCCGAATCATGTTCCACCATGTTCGATATGACGTCATTCGAATAGAATGCGTGTTCGAATTCGGGGTTACTGGCGGTCATTTGTATGTTTCCTCTGTACACCCGCGTTGTTACGCATTTTATTCATGGAGTATGACCTACAACTGTAAACGGCTTTACGCGCAGCTGAAAACAGCATAATTGATCTTTAGAGTAATCCATGTTTACGTATTATCACTTTTTTATCAAAATTGTCCGAGGCTATTTTGCATATAAGTCGATATTTTTTAACTGTGGCGATTTTTTAACGAAAAATGACAGAAAAAAAGCTGTTTCTGTCGTTTTTGGCCCAAAAAAACAATATAACTGTCATTTAAAACAAAATAGCCTCGGACAAAAATAATAAATAGGGGGTTGGCTTTCTACTTGTAAAATATCATGATGAAAGGTGTTGTTACCGCGTGCGCGTAAAGCCATGAAGTAAACAGCTTTTTTAACCAAAATGTTGATTTTTAACCCAAAAATCCAGAAGTAGTAAAAACAAAACCTTTATTCAATGTGTTTCAAGTACTACTAGAACTGTGTGAAGTTTAGTTGTGGTGCGACCAAGCTATCAAAAGTTACAGGCATATGTATGAAATACTACTCATAATATGCCATAGGCTGCCTTAACCCAACCGAGAGGTTTAAGAACTCAAACAAATGTGAAAATGATGTGAATATTGCAATCAATGCATGATGCTCTGTGAGTAATTGTCAGACGCATGTACATGTACTGTCTAGTATTTGGGCTGTGATTTTTCTGAATGTGTATTTCTTTTATACCCCAGGCATGAGATGCTGCTAATGTATAGCTGACATTGTGGGACCTTTCTCCTGTGTGCTGCGGGACCTGTCAGCTATCCTGTGTACCTGTTCACATCTGTCAGCTATCCTGGTTTCCTGGAGGATATGCCTGTGTTTCTGAGGGACCTGTCTCCTATCTTAGCAAGAGAAGAGAACATCGGACGCGGTGTGAGTTGGCTTTTATTTATAAACTCTTTCAAAAATGGGGTCTGCATGCCGCAATGCGTAATCAGCCATTTTAGGTTTACATAATGGATTTAGTCACCGTTGATCTAGTCACCGTTAAACTGTCATCTGTGCGATAAAACGTCCAGCCAGTACAAGTAAACTGTAATATACGTGGTCGTTGCTTTGCAGCATTCTGCACCTTGCCATTTCAACTTTGCATAATTTGAAGGCGAACAACTCTGATTGAATATCAAATGTAATCTACGTGAAACCAACTTGAACAAATGTAAATCACAGTTGCTGCATTACAAAATTTAGCACACCAAGCATGATCGGTACCTCCCATACAGACCCTTAAAAATGACAAGGAAAGATGTTGGGAAAGGGCAAGTTTGCGATCCTCTGAATTTTTCATTCTAAGCACCATTGTTGAAACTCTGAGCTAGGCACTCCCAGCTAT